CCCCAAAACCCCAAAACCCCAAAACCCCAGAGATGACATGTATATTTAAATTGAGGTCAACTTTATTAACATTAATTAATCAATTCAAATCCAATGATTCCATAGTCCAGAGAATGTAAAAGCCTTAAGTTTTAAAATAATCTACTAATTAGAGATTATAAGCTTCATATACTGGAATTGTACTTATTGAAACATCAAGACCTTCTGTTTCAAATACTTTTTGTAAGAAATGATTTGAATCAAAACTGAATTTATGTGGTTTATAAATTGTCATTTAAAAGCTCAAAGTTTTTTCGTGTTATTTTAACTTCTTTAATATATTAGATTTGACCAAATTTATTTGATTCTGTAACTAAATCTCTTCACTTATATCAGAATTAAGTTTGATTTATCCAGTAAACTTCAATATATTAATAGAATTATTTTCAGATTTTGATTCCTCTATTTAATCATCGCTTTCATCGTTTGAAGAATTCTATTTGATAAGTGATTGAACTATTGTTTGTTAAGTTTCTGATTAAATAGGCTCCATTTAAAAATGGTCAGCTTCTTTGTTACAAAAGAGCTCAATTTCAATTAGACTGAGTCTGGGTAATTTTCCAACTCTTATGATTGATGTTGGAATAATTTTGAAATCATCAAGTATCTTTGGCATTATGGACTTTATATCAACATCTGAAGAAATAAAAATATTTGCACCTAATAATTAGCTTTAAGAATAAAGATTTACCATAGCATGATTTTTTAATAGATGCATTAGAAATCGTCCCTAAAATAGCTTCAAAATTCTTCAAAATTTATAAATACTAGTCCTACAGACTATTCTACAAAAGCATATGCTCAGGGATTAATCCAATATTCCCAGCTAGCAATATATTTCCATTTAACTATAAAAAGTAATTTGATTTATATTCTTACTTAATTGGCTTGACTATATGGCCCTATATTAGCAGGAGCCCATTAACTGTAACCTTAGACATGAAGATTTTGCCTATTTAATTTTTGCAAAGTGGCCTCTTTCATACCTATAGCTTGAATGTATACCAAACTATCTTAATTTTAGTTTGGCAATTCTACACATACTCTAACTGGTGGTTTTAATCCAAAGTACTTCTTGTATACAGTGTTAATATCTATGAACTAACTCATATCATAAATATAGAGATTAATCTTTAATGTCCCGTTCTTCAAAGAGAAGCCATTATCTTCAAATAATTTGCTCAAATGCGACAATAATAAATCTACCTATTGTGACTAACTTAATTCGAGGGAGCCTGAGCCCTCAATTTTAATATCCCTTATAGTCATGAATTTTGTAATTATTTAGTCTTTACTTATTTAGTAATGCTTTTCTAGCTAATGACTTTAAATAATTTCATCAGTTGTTGATTATTTCCAATCAAAATTTTATTCAATCTTTTCGTATTTTACATCTTAAATGTATTTTCTTGATTCAATTAAATTTTATAGTAATTCACTGTGTCTTTGATTAGTATCTTCGTCTTTATCCTCAAGCTGGAACTAATTAAATTTTAAATGAGCAACTGGAGCTATTTCACTTTCATCATGATGGATAATTTACTAATCTAATGCCACTATACGCTTGGACTTAAATAGAGGACAATCAAAGACAGCAGATTCATACTCTCCTCCTTCTCCACAAACATTGAATTAGAATTGATCTCTCTAAGATTATTTAAGCAGAATTATATTTTACAAGTTTGATGAAGTAATCATGCAATTATGATATGCTTTTGCCAAGATGAGACGGCTTTAAGCCCATAGAGCAAATCTTGATTATTCTTGCATCCATCTCATTCTCTATCATCTCTTCGAGCAACTCTGATTAGTCTTTGAGCCAAAGATAAGCCAGAGATACAAGACCTAATCGCTGGCATACATTTTCTACCCTTAATCTCTAATAATTGGAAAATATTGCTCCACTTGCTACTGCTTATATGTCAGGATAATGTTCCTATCAAATATTTGACAGAAAATGTAACTTACTTTAACTTTAACAATAAGTTGGAAAAAGTCTTCTACTTCATCATTCATCTCATTTTCATCTTTTTCATAGTAAAGTTCTTAATTAACTGATTTTCCAGATATTTCTCTAAATATTTTCAGCAAGAAATTTACTTTTTAATTATTGGAACTTCTAAGCATTATGCAATGCAGTCAGCTATCTCTACTCCCACAGTTTGAAACATAAAAGAATCCATTTCATTATCACCTGATTATAATTTCTCAAGCGGTGGATGCAAGTTCGCTACACATATCAATTCATGACCATAAGAAATGCATTGCAGTAAATTGAATATACTATCTTTGCCCCCACTTATTAAACCCACAAATTTCATTAATCAATTAAATTGTAATTTCTATAATAATTTCACTATTATAATTAATGTCACTAATCGATTTCCAAATTATAGAAAAGCTTGGTAAAATTTAACTTTGACAATTCTATTAGGGGAAGGAGCTTACAGTGTTGTTTATAAAGTGAAGCGACATTCTGATGGCATGATATATGCAATGAAAAAAGTAAAGCTTGACAAACTAAAAGAAAAAGAAAAGTAAAATGCATTAAACGAAGTTAGAATATTAGCATCGATTGGACATCCCCATATAATCGCTTACAAAGAGTCATTTTTAGATGACTCCACTTCCTGTTTGTGCTTGGTCACTGAGTTCGCAGATAACGGGGATTTGTTCTAAAAAGTCAGAAATCATAGAGGCCAAAATACCTATATGCATGAAGGTGAAGTTTGGAAAACTTTGATTCAGCTAACTTTCGGTTTAAAAAAGTTACATGACCTAAAAATATTCCATCGAGATTTGAAAAGTGCGAACGTTTTCCTTTTCAAGGATGGAACTGTAAAGTTGGGGGATATGAATGTATCTAAAGTAGCTAAATAAGGAATGCTGTTTACTCAAACAGGAACACCTTTCTATGCAAGTCCTGAAGTTTGGAGAGATTAACCCTACGATTCTAAAAGCGACATTTGGTCTCTTGGCTGCGTACTCTATGAAATGATAGCACTTAGACCCCCTTTCAAGGGTAACGACATGGAAAATTTATATAACTCTGTTTTATCAGGAAAATATTAACCAATTCCGAATGTATTCTCAGCCGATATTGGCAATGTAATTAAAAGTATGCTATCAGTAAATTCGAAAATCAGGCCTACATGCTTAACAATTCTTACTATGGACACTGTGAAGAAACGAATAGAAAAGTACTTCTCATCGGATTACTTGATTTAAGAGAGATAGACGTTTCAAGGTATAAAGAAAAGATAGCAAGAAATAGAAGAACACAATATTCCACAAGATGCCTTGTTGAGTACTATAAGATTAACAGATAATTTATTCACGCTAAAAGACCAATTACCGATTCCTTAATATAACGGTTTCAGGTCCAGCCATAGATCCTCACAGATATCATTGAAGTAAGACTCAGATCTTAGAGTATCTGTGGACACTTTTAGTTCAAAGCAAGATGAGAGAGATGAAACTTAGAGACGCTTAGATACATTAGTCCCTCTATCTTACTTTTCTCCAAGTCCTAAACAGAGTGAAGATTCAAAACAAGCTAAAATTGCGAGTCACAATTCAGTAAAATCACTTGACACTCAATCAAAAACTAATGAGGCTAGTGATGAATATTAGGCTAGTAAATCTAGATAACTAGCCCTTTTAAAGAATAAGGTTAGTAGCAATTAGAAAATAATTGAGAATCAAGACGTAGATCCTTTAGTTGAGCAGAGAAACAAAGCACCATTTAGAAGCAATTTAAAAGAGTACAAGTCAATTGAGGTGGTTATTAACAAGGAAGAGGATTCATTGATGTCGATAAACATCAAAAAGGAAAGAGCTAAAAGACAAGAGAAAATTGAGAGATTGAACCTTAAGAATTCTGTATCGTAGTAACTCATCTTGCCAAAGATTGAAAATGGAATGCCCAAAGTTAAATTGATTTAATCTCCTGATTAGGACCATTCATAGATTTTGGAAATGATAAAAAATAGTCAGAGTGTAAAAAGTAGCAACCTTCTCATTAATGTCAATAATCTTTTGAAGAATGAATCTGTTCCTTTAAGTTATCTTAAAGGCAAATAGACCATATTGCTCAAAGATAATCTGAGCTATAAGACTCCATCTAATAATAGATATAACAATAAGCCGCATAATCAATAGTCCTTGCCAGAGCTTCGAGGACTCTCACTTGAAAGTTACAAATATGTATAAGATGGATCAGGCTCAATATCTTCACCTTATGAACTAGATAAAAAACTTCCACCGAATCCTAGCCTTATGCATGGTGCTAAATTATCAAAGATTTACCTTCCTACTTAAAGTGATAAAAAATTAAAGATACTCCTTAAAGAAAAAAAAGAAATTATAGCTGTTTCAAAAAGGAAAATCATTAATGATATCTAGGACACACAGAGTACTCATTCAAATTTGAAACTTTGATGCCAATATTAAATTTGAACTTTTCACTAAAATAAAAAATTGACTATTAATTACGAATGCATATTGCCATACTTTATTCTTTAATATTAGACTTATCGTCAACATTTTCAAGTACATTTCTTCTGCGGGGTTTTGGGGTTTTGGGGTTTTGTAT